GATATGCCTTGAGGTCTGTTTTCGAATTATATCCTTTAGAATTTTTTCGCCTTCATGTACATCTTTTAGAGGATCAGCGTGACTGAAAGCTACCTCTGTGTCCTCTTTGAAGCTGGCTCAGTTGGCTTCTTTAAAATTTATGTGTCCTCTTGGTTGAACGTAGCGGTTAAATGGCGCAGCTTAATGTTATAATTATTGCTTGGTGATCCAAACCGAGCTTAGATACAGTTTTCCAGTCCGAACTCATCGCTAGCGTGAGCTCTGTTTCCTTGGTTACTCTCCTTGGCCTGTCTTCGTTGATAACGATTAGTTCAGAATCGGAGATTTCATTTGCTAGTTCAACTCCTCTTTTATCGGAATCCAGCGTTGAGTGCCACAGTTCTTTGGAATTCAAGTTGAAAAAAGTTTTTTTTTGGTCTCCTTGAGTTCATTGACACTTATCTTACTGTATTAGTTATGTTTTCACTTTTTTAACGTGATTGGTCTATTTTTGAGTTAAGTATATGTGTTCATTTTAATTGTATCTTTTAACTGCTCAAGTTCTTTTTGGCTTGCGACTTGATATCATGTGTTTCAACGCTGTCTGATATTTAATATTGGAGGATTTTTTAACGAAGTAAGGTGAGTTGGTTCTTTGAGTAGGCAAAAGACTTCCAATCTGAAAGTACGTGGTTTGAAACCCGTCGAAGGCCAAAAAAAAAGTTTATTCAAGTTTTTCCACGATTTATCTTTGTTTTTTGTAGCTCGAAATTATTTTCGCAAAAGGTGTTTTTGACATCGCTGGTTCCTGCAAGGTTGGTGGAACTAGAAGCGAATCTTCTGACGAAGTTCTTCTTGCAAACCTCCCGGATGTTGGGAAATACTCGTTCGGGGATCAACTCTATCTAGTTCAAGCGTTGACGCACTCAAGTTATACCAGAAACAATCTAACTGACAATTATCAACGTCTGGAGTTCCTAGGAGATGCTGCTTTGGATTATGTCATTACAAAGCATCTAATCGAAACGTATCCCCACTTTGATCCGGGAATGCTGACTGACATGCGATCTGCTCTAGTGAATAATGTTCTGTTTTCATCCTTGGCTGTAAAATTGGGTCTGCATAAGGCGTTGAAGCATCTTTCTTTGGAGCTGCAACAGGAAATCAACAGATTTGTTGAATTTTTGGAGGTTGGTTGATTAAATTACGCTTTTTGTGTGAAAACAGATTTTAAGAGTAATGGACATAGTGAAGACTCTTCTATAGGTCTTGATGTTTTTTTTTCAGGAAAAACTTTTAAAATGCTCTAAGAAATTCAGAAGTGCATCATACAAATTAATGCATTGATGAATGCATTTAGATGCATTTTTGAGTTGAATTTAAGTCCATTTTGCTAAAAGGTTGGCAATTGGGCTCTCCAATTACTATAGTGCAAAACCGTGATTTCCCAACGAAATAAAAAGTTTGTCCTTTGATCCGGTTTTCTTACATTGGGTTTATTTTCAGAAAAAAAGCCGGTCATGAACAGTTCTTGAAATTCAACGAGCTTCAACCTGATATATATTTTTTCTTCGATAGTTCAGAGTGTTCATATATGTCCATTCAACTTTTTTTTGGATTTCTTGTCCTTCTAATGGCTTTGTTCTTGAGCTTAAAGCTCTCTTGTATTTGAGAAAAATCCAATAAGAAAGTTATGCAGCTTCACTTCTGAGTTATAGAATTTCTGCGGAGGTTGCTAGATTGCAATAGGAGGCATCTACGAAACGAGGTCCTGCAATGACTCGATCCTTCTCCATGATCAAACGAAGTTCTGTAACTAAAGAGACCTATAACCTCATTGCATCTAATTTTGGGGTAATGAATAAAACAGTGGAAACTCAAGTAAAATATGCATAAATAGGATTCAAATCGAATGAGTGCAGATAATGCATCTTGCATTGAAAGAGAAAGATCATGATCATGAAAATTCTTGGTCTGAGATGATCCTGATTTGATTGTAGTTTTATGTCCGGCTGCTGCTTCTGCCCACTCTCCTCGCAAATATCTTAAAATAATTTTTCTGACTATTTTTTCAGTTTCTTCATTTTTTTCAACAGACGGTAGAAAACTTTTTAGTTACTTTATGATGGTGAAATCTATGTTTATTTTTTATGTTCACTATGTTATATTTACTTTGGCGAAATCTAGGAATCTATGTTCACTTTTTATATTTACTATGTTCTGATATTTACTTTGGTGAAAACTAGGATAGTCATTGTTGACGAGTATTGTGTGAAAAACGGTTTGTTGGTTCAGTTTCGTTTGTCTTTGCTGTTCATTCTTTGTTCGTTTTGGATGTAATTGTTGTTGGTTGTAATTTAGCATCCGCTAAAGAGCCGAGTCTTTGCATTACTAAGTCTGCAGTTTCAGAAACTGATGGTAACAACAAATTTGTGCGTATCATGGTCTGAATTTGTGCGTATCACTTAGTCCATTTGTCTTTTTTGTAGTCCTGGATGGCTTTATCCATTTTCCGATTGAGCTCGGCTATATCTTGGTTTCCTGGGTTTGCTGCCTGAGCTTCGTACTTTTTCTTAGTTAACTTAAAATCTTCCGGGGAAACGTTGACTTTTTCTCCTCTGAAGGTACCTTGAGGGATATGCCTTGAGGTCTGTTTTCGAATTATATCCTTTACAATTTTTTCGCCTTCATGTACATCTTTTAGAGGATCAGCGTGACTGAAAGCTACCTCTGTGTCCTCTTTGAAGCTGGCTCAGTTGGCTTCTTTAAAATTTATGTGTCCTCTTGGTTGAACGTAGCGGTTAAATGGCGCAGCTTAATGTTATAATTATTGCTTGGTGATCCAAACCGAGCTTAGATACAGTTTACTAGTCCGAAGTCATCGCTAGCGTGAGCTCTGTTTCCTTGGTTACTCTCCTTGGCCTGTCTTCGTTGATAACGATTAGTTCAGAATCGGAGATTTCATTTGCTAGTTCAACTCCTCTTTTATCGGAATCCAGCGTTGAGTGCCACAGTTCTTTGGAATTCAAGTTGAAAAAAGTTTTTTTTTGGTCTCCTTGAGTTCATTGACACTTATCTTACTGTATTAGTTATGTTTTCACTTTTTTAACGTGATTGGTCTATTTTTGAGTTAAGTATATGTGTTCATTTTAATTGTATCTTTTAACTGCTCAAGTTCTTTTTGGCTTGCGACTTGATATCATGTGTTTCAACGCTGTCTGATATTTAATATTGGAGGATTTTTTAACGAAGTAAGGTGAGTTGGTTCTTTGAGTAGGCAAAAGACTTCCAATCTGAAAGTACGTGGTTTGAAACCCGTCGAAGGCCAAAAAAAAAGTTTATTCAAGTTTTTCCACGATTTATCTTTGTTTTTTGTAGCTCGAAATTATTTTCGCAAAAGGTGTTTTTGACATCGCTGGTTCCTGCAAGGTTGGTGGAACTAGAAGCGAATCTTCTGACGAAGTTCTTCTTGCAAACCTCCCGGATGTTGGGAAATACTCGTTCGGGGATCAACTCTATCTAGTTCAAGCGTTGACGCACTCAAGTTATACCAGAAACAATCTAACTGACAATTATCAACGTCTGGAGTTCCTAGGAGATGCTGCTTTGGATTATGTCATTACAAAGCATCTAATCGAAACGTATCCCCACTTTGATCCGGGAATGCTGACTGACATGCGATCTGCTCTAGTGAATAATGTTCTGTTTTCATCCTTGGCTGTAAAATTGGGTCTGCATAAGGCGTTGAAGCATCTTTCTTTGGAGCTGCAACAGGAAATCAACAGATTTGTTGAATTTTTGGAGGTTGGTTGATTAAATTACGCTTTTTGTGTGAAAACAGATTTTAAGAGTAATGGACATAGTGAAGACTCTTCTATAGGTCTTGATGTTTTTTTTTCAGGAAAAACTTTTAAAATGCTCTAAGAAATTCAGAAGTGCATCATACAAATTAATGCATTGATGAATGCATTTAGATGCATTTTTGAGTTGAATTTAAGTCCATTTTGCTAAAAGGTTGGCAATTGGGCTCTCCAATTACTATAGTGCAAAACCGTGATTTCCCAACGAAATAAAAAGTTTGTCCTTTGATCCGGTTTTCTTACATTGGGTTTATTTTCAGAAAAAAAGCCGGTCATGAACAGTTCTTGAAATTCAACGAGCTTCAACCTGATATATATTTTTTCTTCGATAGTTCAGAGTGTTCATATATGTCCATTCAACTTTTTTTTGGATTTCTTGTCCTTCTAATGGCTTTGTTCTTGAGCTTAAAGCTCTCTTGTATTTGAGAAAAATCCAATAAGAAAGTTATGCAGCTTCACTTCTGAGTTATAGAATTTCTGCGGAGGTTGCTAGATTGCAATAGGAGGCATCTACGAAACGAGGTCCTGCAATGACTCGATCCTTCTCCATGATCAAACGAAGTTCTGTAACTAAAGAGACCTATAACCTCATTGCATCTAATTTTGGGGTAATGAATAAAACAGTGGAAACTCAAGTAAAATATGCATAAATAGGATTCAAATCGAATGAGTGCAGATAATGCATCTTGCATTGAAAGAGAAAGATCATGATCATGAAAATTCTTGGTCTGAGATGATCCTGATTTGATTGTAGTTTTATGTCCGGCTGCTGCTTCTGCCCACTCTCCTCGCAAATATCTTAAAATAATTTTTCTGACTATTTTTTCAGTTTCTTCATTTTTTTCAACAGACGGTAGAAAACTTTTTAGTTACTTTATGATGGTGAAATCTATGTTTATTTTTTATGTTCACTATGTTATATTTACTTTGGCGAAATCTAGGAATCTATGTTCACTTTTTATATTTACTATGTTCTGATATTTACTTTGGTGAAAACTAGGATAGTCATTGTTGACGAGTATTGTGTGAAAAACGGTTTGTTGGTTCAGTTTCGTTTGTCTTTGCTGTTCATTCTTTGTTCGTTTTGGATGTAATTGTTGTTGGTTGTAATTTAGCATCCGCTAAAGAGCCGAGTCTTTGCATTACTAAGTCTGCAGTTTCAGAAACTGATGGTAACAACAAATTTGTGCGTATCATGGTCTGAAGACGTGTTGGTACCGTAGTCTGATTATCAATAGCAGATTATGAATTCAGTGCGGATGATGCTCCTAATGATAAGAACACCGCGGTTGACAGTCAAAGCATCTTCGAAAGCCGCCACTACTCAAAATGAAGTACGTATCTTTTTTTGAATGATTGGTTTATTCATCAAGATTTGACCTCATATATTTGTTTTGACTCGTTTTTCGCAATAATTGCTAGAATTTTTGCTAGCGTAGCACAGAAGTGTTATACAGGGCAGCCTAACTTTCTGATATCTGAATATGGAATTTACGGTTCTGAATTTTCAAGATCATTAAATTCAAGATCATTCAAGATCCATTTGTCATCTGAGTTAGATCTTACTGGTATTTAAGACATCTACTGAAATATCAATTTTCAGCTGTGGCAACAGTTTTTTTGGAAAAAAATCCCATGATTTTCAACAGTTTTTTTTGGGAAAAAAATCCCATTATTTTCAACGAAAGCATAGTTTCGAAAACATGATTTTTGATTCTTTCTGTTATTTCATTTGTTTCCAGGTTTTCTCTGATTGCTTCACAGGAGACACTTTGCTTGAATATTCTTTTATTAATCATTGCTTTCAGTTTTGGTATTTTTGCTATTTTTACCGAATCATATCTTTTCAATTGAAAAATTTAGCAGTAGCTGAGCTCTCGTTTCGACTGATGTTTTCAACACCAAATCAGACAAATAGTTTTAAACCGTCCCGTTTGTTTTGAGTCGTGACTGACTATATAGAAAGCGGGCAATTGTTCAGTAGATTAAGTTAGTTGTAGTTGTTGTTTTAACCACGCACTGGGTGCCGTCTCGAATGGTCCAGAATGGTTGTCCGTGTTTGGTTTCGTTCGGTTTCGCTTCCGGTGTTCTTGGTTGCTTGATTTCGTTTCCTCTCAGTACTTATCTGTAAGATAAGATTGTTTTGAAATTGCTCCGGTGTTTGTTAGGTAAGCACTGTGCAATTCTCCAGTTCTGTTGGCCCTCGGGGGATATTAGGGCTGATGATAGAAAAACCACAAGTGCTTCATCTCCTTGATCGTGATGAAGTAAAAGGTCACGAGTGACGACTAGTCAAAACCCCGTTTCAGAGTCTGGGCGTCTCTGAGTGCCTTTCCCTTTATGAAGTGACAGTCTTCCGTCTAATGTGTGCTGTTGGGCAGTCAGCATCTGTGACGACTGATTGTGCTATTAATTCTTAAGGTATTCAGCTCTACCGCTCTCCTTATGTAGGGATGTTAACAAACTCTGCTACTTTACAGGGCTCATTCCACAGACTTTCTATTGTAGGTCTGTGGGCTTGATGGGATAATTCAACAACATGTGTTGACAACCATGTGGGCTGTGTTTGCATTCTGCGCATTCTTTTTAAATTTTCGAGTTAATTCTTGAATAGTAATTATTAAACACGGGAGAGTAACCGCTACAGAGATGCGAGAGTTTTCTTCTTGTTAACCGCGGTAGGTGTTTTTCGTGGTTGCTTAGTTTCAGCAGCTTTTCCCATAATTTGCTTCGTTTATCCTGTTTTATACTTTTAACTGTATTTGTGTGGATTTTTTTTATTTCACTCCCATACTTTTTGGTGGTCACAGCAAGCACCGTTTTGGTTCAAAAAACAGGAAATGTCATTTTGATGTTGTTGTTGCAAAGTTGGTTTAATTGTGCGCTTGCTCAGCGTGGAATTGACGGTGTGGTTGTCAACTCTGTACAGCAGATGACATTCCAGTAAAAATTGCTTCGCTTTCATTTCGCTGTGCGTACGATATGTGAAATTTGTGTTGTGTAAATGATCAATTGGTGGCGTCATTACAAACCCAGTCATAGTTCTTAGTGGCCTATTTTATTTTGGTTGCAGCTTTTTCCACTTAATATCTCTTAAACTGGGAGACCAGATGGGTGCGGCGTAGTTAAGAACGCTACGACTTATTGTCTTGTTACTGAGTTCCAAGGTCTTCTTATCGCATCCCCATGTATTTTCTACCAATTTTTTAAAAATGTTTTTTCTACTATGTACTTTTTGACATGTTTTAGTGAAATGCTGCCCAAAGTGCATTAGTTCATCAAAGGTAACGCCTAAATTTTTCAGGTGTTTGTTAACATGTAGTTTATCTGTATCTACTTTAACACCTGGGTCCCCGTTCAGTTCTGCAATCTAGAAAGCTAACACTGCGGCAGAAGACTCATCAGCAAATAAGCTAAGGTTCCTGTCTAGAAGGAACTTATTTAGATGTTAAACATTTGTTGATTGGTTGCGTTAGATTTTTAACATTTGGTCCAAATTTGATGATAGCTATATCGTTTGCATTAGGAAGTAAGTTCAATGTCCACAGAAGTTCAATGTCCACGCCTTCTGGAGGTTTTGTCATTACACTCGACATATGTAAGTCTACCTTGGAGGTATCCGCACACCCATCTTTTTGTGTTGATGCTTGGACTGCGTTCTAAGATATCGTTAAGGAGTAATGTGTGGCCTACAGTGCCAACCGCCGCGATATGATCAATAGCCCTTAATAGTGAGCTGTCAGGCGGGTGTGCTTTGTTCATTCCCGTTTAAATCTTATCAGAGATACAGTATAGAACGGTAAATGTGGACATCGGGTTTCTGAAAGTTCAGCTAAAAGGAATTTGAGGCTAAACACTGGAAGTAATTGGCCGTTCTATTATTTTAGCAATGGGGAACAGGAGAGCAATAGGCCTATACCTTTTTGAATGCTTGGGATTCTTCCCCGGTTTCAACATTGGGATGACCTTCCAATTCTGCGCGCTTGCTTACGTATGTGGTCAGTGACAGATTGATCAGGTGGGTTAGATATACCACGCGTTCAGGCCCTAAATAATGCTTGTGTATAGGGGCGATTTGATCCTGCCCGGGTGCTATACTCTTCTTTGATTGTTTTTATAGCTTCTTGCACCATTAAGGGCAAGGTCGTACTTCGTCAATTATCAGACTTTCAAGTTTTCTGACAATGGGCCTTTTTGCTTTCAGTACCAACTCAGAATGGGGCATGAGCTGTTGATTTAAAAACTTGGCAAATTTATGTGGATCGAAGGTTTCTATCGATTCGCCAAACTTGTATGGTTTCTTACATATTGGTCTGGACCTGCAACCGGATAAAGCTTTAATGTTTGACTATTGTTTGTTGCAGTTGACCCTGTAGTCAATTGTATCCAGGAACTTAGTCCATTTGTCTTTTTTGTATTCCAGGAACTTAGTATCCAGGACTTAGTCCATTTGTTTTTTATTTAACTTAGTCCAATTGTATCCAGGAACTTAGTCCATTTGTCTTTTTTGTAGTCCTGGATGGCTTTATCCATTTTCCGATTGAGCTCGGCTATATCTTGGTTTCCTGGGTTTGCTGCCTGAGCTTCGTACTTTTTCTTAGTTAACTTAAAATCTTCCGGGGAAACGTTGACTTTTTCTCCTCTGAAGGTACCTTGAGGGATATGCCTTGAGGTCTGTTTTCGAATTATATCCTTTAGAATTTTTTCGCCTTCATGTACATCTTTCAGAGGATCAGCGTGACTGAAAGCTACCTCTGTGTCCTCTTTGAAGCTGGCTCAGTTGGCTTCTTTAAAATTTATGTGTCCTCTTGGTTGAACGTAGCGGTTAAATGGCGCAGCTTAATGTTATAATTATTGCTTGGTGATCCAAACCGAGCTTAGATACAGTTTACTAGTCCGAACTCATCGCTAGCGTGAGCTCTGTTTCCTTGGTTACTCTCCTTGGCCTGTCTTCGTTGATAACGATTAGTTCAGAATCGGAGATTTCATTTGCTAGTTCAACTCCTCTTTTATCGGAATCCAGCGTTGAGTGCCACAGTTCATAGTGTTCGTTGAAATACCCCTTTATAACTGTATTTTCTGGGTTGAGTAAGTGTTTAATGCTGTTGTGGTAACCTGCTTTACAACTTGAGGATTGTGGTTTTTAAACTTTGTTAAGAGTGATGTTTGAGTTGCCAGAGAGCAGTTTCACTCGTTGATGTTCAAAGAGATTAAGTTAGCAGTCAGAAGGCAGCAAAGCTTGAATTTTTTAAAAAAAGCTCTAGAGCTGATTTACTGCTTTATTTATATGGGTGGGAATTATTTAGTTGGTACCATAGGGAGGGAAGGGGGCAATTGTTAAGTAGATTTTACAGCGAAAAAAGACTTTGAACTGAAAGAGAACATCACACAAGTGCATAGCCGGATCCTGTGAACTTATTCACCAAAAACTACCGGGAGATTTTTTTTTTACAAATTAGCGTTAGTGTTTTTGAATGTGGTATGATAGAGATCTATAGACATTTGTAGAAAATTTGTAAATTAGGGTTAATCGATAACAATTCTCTTTACCCTTGCAATAGCAATTGTTTTGCAATCAGTTACTAGACTTTTTCCACTGCAAATTAGTTTAGGAACAAAATGATTTTAATTAGAAAAGATAAATTTAGGTTCAGTTCTTAATTATTTCTAATTTTTTGTGTCTCCATACTTGATCTGGAGGTAACGAATACGCCTGGGACAGCAAAGGTTCTGGGTTTGAATCTGACAGGACCTCATTTTTTTTCAAACAGGAAAAGCTCCATTTTATGAAAAAATTTGTCGGCTCAATATTTTTCAGCTTATGTTTTGTCGGCTTAGTTGTCATATTGTAGAATTGTTTTTTAAACGTTTCTTAACATTATAGTTGCTTTTAGTGTTTTGATTTTTCTCTGATGTTTGTAATTCACTAACCCTGACTTTTTATGTTTTCCTCTTTTTTTTTCGCTTTTAAGTTTTCTTCTGCCCCAATGATTTCGGCCTTTTCTTATCGGCTTAGTGACCTTTTTCGGGTTAACAATTTGTTCAACAAAATCATTTGAATCTCTTGTATTTTGAGTCATAATGAATTCACACTTTTATGCGTTCGCGGCCAACTTAGCCTGGAGGTAACGAATATGTCTGGGACAACAAAGGTCTTAGGTTCGAATCTGACCAGGACCTGTTTTTTTCTCAAACGGGGAACATTCTGTTTCAAACAAAATTGTCGGCCAATTAATTGTCTGCTTATCCTTTGTCGGCTTAGTTGCAATTTCTTGAGATCTTTTTTTTCTGCACGCTCGTTTTTTTTGGGTTAACAACTTGTTTAACAGAATCA